TTAAAAAATAAACACCATTGCTACTGAAACGTCAAAGCTCTAAGCTTGGGGTCCTGAAGTTCACTAGCAAAGTAGGGGAATAAAAAACATCTTATTCTGAGAAAATAGCCACTGATGTGCAAGCGAATGTTATTTTGTACAATTCAGGGCTGAAGGTTATCGGTCTACAGATCTTCGAGTCAGTCTATGGTACTTTTATGAATTCATCTTAATGAAGTATAAAATATGAACTAATAATAATAATAATAAAAATCAACATGTATACAGGTCAAATAAACGCTTTGAATTCAAAGAATTCAGCATGATTAACAGACTGCTGACCTTAAATATTCTCAATAGCCGAGCAGCTTATATTTTGGTTGTTAAAGACAATGAAGTAAGGTGTTGCTTTTTAATTTAAGCCTCACAAAATTCTGCCTAATCCAAACGGGATTTGTTTATGATTAGTAAGTGAAGACTTTAGTATAGTTCAGTTTAAATAGGAATTAACACTTATTATTGTCATATAAATTTGTAAACAAAACGTGAATGTTTCCATAATAACTACTGCTCAGTTTAGGTGAAGAAAAAAAAAACAATAAATAACAACGAGTGATAAAATCTGATCAATATAACTTTTCATGTCTCTTAGATGATTGACTGACTTCCTCAGTAATCAAGTTGAAATACGTTCGGTCTCTATTTTTCTGTATGTCTCCTCCTCCTCCCCCTCCCCCCACCGCGCCTTCGTTTTCACTTTCCTATTGACAGTACATCATGTAAGCCACTGTTCTGAACGCCTCATTGACACCAGTAAATTAGTCTGCTTCAGTGACTAATCAGGATTTTCTTGGCTGTTAGTGGGAAGTGTGTCAGCATTTTCAACTTTTATGGGCATTTTTATGCTTTAATCCGTCGCCCTCTTTTGTTTGTGTTTTTTTTTCTAAATATCTTTCTGAAAAGTAATTTTTATCACAGCAAAATGAGCAGAATAATCTATGAGAGTTGTTGACAGTATAAATGAGATGTTTCCATCAGTGTTTATTGTCTATTTATAGCCAGTTTATTTCTTAGTCCTATTTTAGTTTCCAGTCTGTTGATGAAATCTTCCAAAATTCTATTTCTTATGCAGTTAGGAGTAAGAAAAGGCTGCTTACCATCATTGATGATATTGTTGATTGTGGTTGATTGGATTATGCGCCGGACTCTTTCAAGGGAGTGAGAAGGGCAGGAATACTCTGGACCAATGAGAAAACTCTAGTAGATCTGAATTTTGCAGATGATTTATGCCTAATGTTGCACAAACTCGAGGAATTTAAAGCGAAAACCGACAAAATGGATGAAGAAGCAGTGAAGATAGGACTTCAAGTGAACATACAGAAGACGGGGGTGGTGAAGATAGCCAACTAACCAACAACAACTACAATAGACATCGATCACTATAAACGGAAGAAATTTGAGAGAGGTCACTTCCTTCGCCTTTCTAGGCAGCTTTGTTTCAAACACAGGTGGAATAGATGAAGGTGTCAAAGCTAGAATAGGAAAGGCAACACTCGGAAATCACTTTGGAAGTCTAATGCACTCAGTCAGCATAAAGAACAAGATTCGGGTTTCCAGCACCAATGTGAAGTCAGTCAGTTAGTGCATCTGCATGGATCATAAACTCAGAGCACTCGTCACGAAAGGCATTTCTAGCAGGCCATTGCAGACATCCATCAACAGCTGCCTTCGAGGGCTCAGTATTGAAGACACGGTTACTGGTGGAAATAACTGGCAATAAGAAATACATTTTTTTTCTCTTTCCTTCACGTTCCGCAGTGGAACATAGGGCGCCTTCAAGCTAGTGGCTTGAAGTTTCTGTAGCAGTGTTTATTTTAGAGGATGGGGTTGCTAGCCTCATGCCCAACCTTTCCTCTTTGCCAGCATTACTTCTGGCTTAGCGAGGTAAAGGAGTGAGTCAGCCGGGTATCGAACCCCGAACTATGTGCATGGTCGGCGAGTGTCCTAACCGCTATGCCACCGACTCATAAGAAACTCTGGGAATGTACAAATCAAGAACCTGTTGCTCAACAAATGTTCCGAAGCAAATGGAGATGCTGATATATGTGCAAAATGTGGGCACTATGGTAGCATGTAATTTCATATTAGTTTGTTTGTTATATATTTATATATATATATATATATATATATATATATATATATATATATATTACACACAGCTATACAGTATTACTATTTACTGGATGATGTTTCGAACAAAATTTATTGTTTATAATCATATTAATAAGCCAACATCAATCATAATTGATACTGGAATAAAACATATAAGCGAACAATATTGCTTTCAGTTAGGTCTCCTTCAGGCTTTATTCTAATCTGCATAGATTTATATTTAAAAATTTCAACCAAGGACGGTGGTTTTGTGGACCCAATACTACTATTAATAATAATACGTATTAAATGTTCTGAACGTCAATAACAATGATGATTATAGTGACAAGAAAATTAATGATAATAAGGTTTATGCACGTGACAATAAGGATGACAAAGGTAGTAATATGTGTGTGTATATGTAGACAATTCAACAAATAATTTAGGTCAAATCTTAAAAGTTATGTAATACTAAAGGTGTAGTGGACAGATAATCAGAGTTTAAATAAATATCATAAAAATACGAAGGAGATGGAAAATAAGAAAGGGTGGAAGAGTTTTGGTAAGAATTCACCTAGGCCAAGGGAGAGACAAAGGTAGAACAAGCTTCTTTTGTATGCAAAGACTAGGATTATTCTCTCGAATTCCCATAGCTTCGGCTATATGTAAAAGGCACTACTTCTGTCCGCTTGGTGACCGCTATCAATCAAATGAATCAAAATAAAACTTCTTATAGAGTATAGTTGGCCTCTCCTGAACCATGAAGGTGGGTGTTCATTAACACGTATGTTAAGCTGTCTAGTTGTTCGCCCTATATAGCTTTCACCGCGGGAGCGAATAAATTTGCACATACGCACAACTGATATGATTATGAACAACATATTCTGTTCAAAACGTTGTCCAGTAAATAATAATACTGTTTCACTGTGTGTGATATATCTAATAAACAAATTAATATGGAAATGGAGATGAGTCAAGCACACATTGAGGTGACCGTTCTCTCTCTCTCTCCAGCCGTTCGAGTAAAGCCCGAATGTGAAACGACAAGTGGGATGTACGAGGCTGACATGCCGGAGATGAGAGTATGGGTAATCATGGGGCCAGCCAAAGAGGACCTCGGTGAACAGGACAAAGTGGAGGTGTGCTGCTAAAGGACTATGTTCCACTCGGTACCTTGGTGTACAACACCTGCCTTCGTATTAATGGAGAGTAGGTAGACCATGACCACTTAACAAAATAAAAATTCCTTATGTAAGAAAAATTCCTCTCACATAATCTCACGTATATATACTCTACTGACATGCATTCTGCCAAACTTTATGCCACAGTTGAAGCTTCTGTGAATAAAATGTAAAACAGTTTTCAATGAGAAAAGCTGAGTGGTTTTATTATGGTTTGGCAGAGTTAACATTAATCTATGTAGTGAACTATTCGGGTGTTCTAGAACGTGGCTTACGATGCTTTTTTTCAAGTTCAGAGTCCATATGTGACAAATTTATACTTTCCTTAACATTTGAAACTGTTTCAAGCTATACTTCAATATGATAAAGGCATTTAAATGCCATGTTTATTCATTGACATAACAGATATATTTGACAACATTGTCTGTAGAAAAAAAATGCCTTTCAGGATTTTGAATAGTTCAGGTAAGTACATTAATTCGACCTCAATTTTTTTCATTGGATGTGTCACACAGTGAAACAGTATTACTGTTTACGAAGTTTTGAACACAGTTTATTATTGTTCATAATAACTTCAGTTAGAAATACACAACTTTGAAACATGATCTTTAAAATTCTTTTCTTTTTTCCCCGACAGGACAATTTTCCAGCTGCCTAAGACAGACATTGATTCATTCCTATTGTACGTATTCTTTCTTGATTCGATTAAATCTCATCTTTGAGTCTGTCATTATAAGATTTCACTACTCTAATTCTTACCTAATTTTATTAGGGTCAACTAATCTAAATTTAGCTTGGCTTTTTTATCGTCTTCCTATTGATTTGCCCGATATATTTGACGTGGCATTCATTTCATTTTTTTAGTGTAATGGGCCGCAAATATTTTGTTACTAAGTGGGTTTGTGAGTGTGATTGATTGACACTTTTATTCCTTCCTTGTTGAGAACTGTACGTAACGTTTCAAAGGCTCCCTCCTTGTATCGGCTGCATTATCGTCGTGTTTAAATTCCCTACTTTTAGTGTTGTTATTATTCCGTGCATGTTCGTCATTTATGTCTTCTGTATACTTCCTGATTACTTTATCAGAGTAGTTATTGAGGGCTGAAGCTTCTTCTAGATGTCTGACATTAATAAAGATGGATGATTTTCACTACATATCAGGTCATTTTATCCCAGTGATTACTCATGAACAGTAGCGGTTTGAAGGTTCAGACTACTGAGAACTTGCTTTTCCTTACTATATGCGTACTATATGCATTCAAGTAGTGTATAATTCCATATTATCAGTTGTTGGTTTGCAGGGATTTAATTGGCTATGGGTTCGATCACGGGTTGACTTCACTTAGAGAACCACTGGAAAACCACAGAGTATTAGATAGTAGTTTTATCCTAGTTTGGGACTCTTCAGCAATATTCACCCACCACCAGGGTTCTAACCCCAGACCATCCTGTTAATAAGTAAATACACAGACCATTCAACCACTGGGACCGGATCGAATGGTCTGTGATTTCCAACTTCCGCCATTTCGTTTACAGGAAAGATTGCACACAGACAGTATAGTATTATTTACTGGATGACGACATTTTGAACACAGTTTATTGTTAAGAATTATGATACTTAACTACTTATGAACTTATGTAGGTCAAAAGAAAAAAAAGAAAACGAAATTATTAAACTGATCAACTTACCGTCTGTATCGTAATGATTCCACACTTCAACAAATTGTGCTGCAGTGAAGTGTTTCAGTGAATTTGACTTGGCATCTTTGAATTGAGCAAGAAAATTTTCTGTTTTATTCATTACTGGTGTTTGTGTATTCATTTTTTTTTCTGTTCAGGTATTTGTTGCTACTGTTGTTGTTGTTATTGTTGTTGTTTCTAATGTTCACTCTCAACTGGAAATAAATATCTAGTCAATTTAGTGTGGATCTTTCAGCAGTTTAGAAGTGGATTAATTAAAACGTATTGCACTCTATTCACTTCAATTAAAAACTAGTCTCAGAATATTTCTGTAATGTGTATTAATTCTATTTCTTGTATACTACACTACTGACAGTAATGATATTCTAAGAAGTAGAACAAGAAGAAGAAATAGAAGAATGTCTACTATTCATATTCTTGACATTTTGTTATATATATATATTCTCAAACAGTTCTACTTATTTAACTGTGATAGGTTGGATGAAGAATAAATCAGTTGTTAGGCTTACTAGTTTGTGATTGGTTAAACTGTTAGAGCTTATTTCTCATAAGTGTTATTTTAGCTGTTACAATTATTTCCCACTTTCAATGTTTATCACAAGAATAAATCTCCATTATCATTTTTGCAGTTTGTTAGTTGATATAAGTAAAAAACAAAAAAAATTTAGCAATATTTTGAGTACTGTTCATCTGTTGAAATTCAATGACACTGGTTACATCCATCAGTGACTATTCGTATTCTAGCAGTCAGTACAGAAAAATTGATTTTTGTTTTTCTTTTTTACAAATTCCACTCCACTGTTAACTTGACTATTGGATTTCCTGAATCACAGTTCTGCTGTGGACGCCCTTCATCTTAATATGTCATCAAATTTCCCATTTATTAGACTCAAACAAATGGTTATAATATAAGCATGAAGTTACATTTTGATGTATTAAATTATATTCAGATTATAAAATATCAATCATCAACTCACTGATGACCATCGGATGTATTCCTTGAAGCTGGAGTGGGGTGAAACATGTCAAAGGAAAGCAGATGCTCATCGTAGGAACTGGAGAGAGAGCAGTACCATATCATGAGTTGGTGAAGTTAGAATACAGGGTCATTGAATTCCCACCTGACCGGCTGATCAGCCAACAAGGTCGGTGTCTTAACCTAAAGATCTCAGATTTCTATCTCTCGTGGGATAGTGGGTGCTAACTGGTGAAGAACCCCAGAATGGGACGAAACGGCTCTCCATTGTTCCCTGATTTTCAGTGATATCTCTAACAGATGTTGGTTCGTGACGAAAATCTAAGGGTTGACATAAGTTGTATGGTTACCAGTAAATGAACCAACAACACAAGTTTACACGAAATTTTAGAGGAATTTATATCTGTTCACATGGTAGTTAACGACTTTTACTTCAGATTCATTGATCCATATGCCATCAAGTCACTTTCGATACCTAGTTGAGTTATGCTTTCAATTAATATTTTCACGGTTAGAGGTATGCATGACCATCATGAGTATTTATGGAGGTAACTGCCTGATATAACTAACCCAAGATGATAACCCGTCCACCTCTCACATATTATGAGTGATATGTTCAAGAAAATGTAAATCTCCTTTTGAAAATATTGTTGTGAAGTGTCATTTCTGCTTGGTTCATGGACTGGAAATAATACAGTCCATCTTTATATCTGGTTTAGATATATTACACTTTGATGAGTGTGTACCATTTAGAGCAAGATTGTTTCATTTTAACTGGGAGTGTGTGTGATTTCCATTTTAAGTTCAATCGGTTCTTTACAATTTCAGTTTCTCTAATATTTAAACTTTAAAAGCTGAGAAGTCACTGTGATTTGTTTATTTTTAATTAGAGAAAAACCAAAATGCTTGCTAAAGAAACACGTTAATTCAGATGGTTTATCAAAAATGTGTGGAGGACTTCTTCTATTGAGAAAGAAGAATCAACAGTAAAAACGATAATTAGATTACCTAGTACACCTTTTAATAAGATAAGACAAGATAATAATAATAGCTTTATTCCAAATCAGTACTTGTGATACAGAATGGAATTCTCAGCATTTTTACTACAATATTGCATCCACTTAGTACGTTAACAATAAATAAAGTTCTACACAGATTAAAGTTATCTCAGTCAGTTTTGACAACAACATGTTAGCATGTCGGTAGCAAAGCCAAAATTAAACAGAGTGTTTGAAGTTGTTAGAAAAGTAGATACTACTAGCATATTTACTGGCGTAAGCGATAGCAAAATGGTCGAGATATACAGAGTGTGAAAGAACGAACAAGAATGTTTTAAGTAGAGTTTGTAAGGAAGAGAGAAACAAAACAGCACATAACAAAAATAAATACAGAATGAAAAAAAGATGGAGAGAAAACGTTGTACCTGTAAATGATGTGAGTTGGAAAGACGAGATCCATTTGTTCTACTGACTATTTAATAAGTTAAAGGTTTCACGCCTAATGCTTTCTTTATCGCACAGAACACGAGCTAGGTAGGGTATGGATGAGTTTTTGTACTTACTAGTGCGGGCATATAGTTTCCTATATAGGCTTCTGGTTTCGCCTGAAGAGATACATGGGGAGAGTTGTGAATGTAGAGGGTGTTGTGAGTTAGATAAAATGGATTTCGCCCATTTTTCACATGAGTCCATGTGCCTGTCCACCAGAATATTAACAAGCTGGCTAAGTGGCACACTGCTTACCCTGCTGACAACCTTTAACATCCTACGTAATAAGGTATAGTCTTTCTTCAATAGCCCAGGAAAGACTAAGGAGGAAAATAGAGAATAATAGGCAGAATACGGGAGTTAACAAATTGTAGGAGTAAGGGTTGGGTTACACCAGAATGTCTTAACTTCTTGATGTAGAAGGTAAGACGGAATATTTTCTTGGAAATCGTCAAGATATGAGACGACCAGGAAAGATCAGAAGATAGAGTGACGCCTAGGTATTTAATTTCCGACTTGGTTTCTATTTCAGTGCCATCTATGTTGCACACCTCGTGAGTGCTAACCAGTTTGTTTAGGTCAGATTTATGCCTAAAGGTGAAATTAACTGTTTGGCATTTGGAGGGGTTTAAGGTGAGACCGTTTTCCTTGGACCATTGGCTGATTTCTGATAAGAAGCCATTTAGTTTAGAGCAGTCACTTTGACATTTGACAGGTAAAGATACAGTTAGGTCATCAGCATATTTGACAAAGTTAATGTCATTTGAAGACGGTAGGTCATGTAGGAAGAAGAAAAGAGAAGTGGGGAGAGTACAGCACCTTGGGGGACACCAGCTTCAGTGAGCACAGCAGAGGAGGATTTGCCTTTGTATACGGTGTACTGCATTCTGTTTGAAAAGTAGGAATGCAACCAGGACTCGGTTTGTGTCATGGAGAGCTTATTTAGCAAGAGACATCTAGGTACAGAGTCGAAAGCAGAAGTGAAGTCAAGAAACGTGCAGCGGACATATTTGGCACCTTTGTCTAATGATGAGACAATACTGTTGTGTAAGACGGCTGCAGCGTCTAAAGTACTCCTACCCTGTCTGTAGGCAAATTGTTTGGGGTCTTCGAAGCTTTTAAGGGAGGGTTCGAGTTTAAGAAGTACTAGTTTTTCCATGAGCTTTAGAAACGGGGAAGTGATGGCAATGGGTCTGAACTTTACGTTCTTGCTATTTCCAGGTTTAGGGACAGGGACTATTTTAATGTCTTTCCATGGAACAGGTACAACGTTTTCGGAGAAAGAAGCATTTAGGATATTAGTTAGAGGAGAACATAAAGCATCTGCACATTGTTTTAGAACATATGCAGGTATGCCATCAGGGCCAAGACTATGTGAGGGCTTAAGAGTTTTAAGACATTTCAAAACATCAAGAGTGTTAAAGTCCTGGAAGTTATCAGCTACAAGATTAGTAACGTTAGAAGTGGTTATAGTAGAAGGAGAGCGTATAAAAGACAGATTAAGAGCATTAACATCACAAGAGGGAAAAACATTACATCGCTTACTATTGCCAGTAATTTCATTGGAAAATTTCCACATGCTGATAGGAGATTTGCATGATAAAAGTGTTTGGTTATAGATAGCATTAAGATTTTTGATTTCAGATTTGATTTGAGCATTAATCTTTTTAAGTCCTAACTTGTCTTTGCATTTATATAACATTTCTTTTTGCCTGCGAAGTTGTTTGAGATGGGGAGACGAGAAGCGGTCGAGGCGTTTGAACAGATTAATAAAGTTACGAGAGTAAATGATTCTGTTAGAATTTATATTTAGGTGATAAATATATGTTGGTAAACAGTAGACTGGATGCAAAATGTAGATATTATAGTAGCAGGCCCAAAAATTCGAACAGGCCGCCAAGGTGTAATTCCTGAAGTTTTGGATGTGGTTGTGTTCTCTGAGCTGGATATTTAATTTGCGAAGCTTTCATCGCCCTACTAGGCGACATCTTCAGCGCATACTTCAATTTGAAGTGACCTTTTAGATTTCTCCATGAGTTTATTAATCATCTCTCCTGGTGACCATGGACGTGATTGGTTGTTTTCACACCTTCTAGGTTACTTGTATCGATATCGGAACTGATTGTTTCATTGACTTGAACTTTGCCCCTCTGTGTGTGAAGTTTCTTTCTTATCGGTTGATAAGTTTTGTCTATCTCTATGTGTCTATTGACTGATGATTCACTGGAATGTCAGCCAAGCTTCTAAAAATTCTCTAGCATTCTTGTTGTTTCCTCTGTCTAATATTTGAACGCCGATTTTCCCAGTCGAATTGATGTCCGGATCTAACTGTATGCATTGGTATGCAACCCATTGCGTAGACTTCAGATCTTTAAGAGTTTTATGTGCTCCTCAAAGATACATTTACTCTAGAGAAAGGAATTTTTTATTTTCACAGTCGTTGAATGGATACTGCTTTACAACAGTATTGTTCTGATTCTTTGAAGTAAGGAAAAGGCCATGAAACCCTACGGTGCACAACATCTATATGAAGGCGAAAGAATAAAGAGAAGTTGAATGCTGATATTGAATGACTGGAGGCAATATTCGGGAAGCCCTGCCTAGACCTAGTTTTCATTTCTTTTGTTATTCATCAGGAGGGAGTACATGCAACCTTGACGCTTCTGAGATTCGAACCATGGTCACCCAGTGATGCACTAACATCAAGAACTAGACATGTGACATCAGTCACTACCCAGTGTTCAATCGAAATATTCAGTACACTCCTACAGGATGTCATTCGTCAGTCCGAATAACTCAATAGTACTATATCTGACTGCACCATGGAGAGTTGAGCGTCCGAATCTCAGAAGGGTAACATGAGTTCCTTCAAGACTACAGATAAGCTTTTCTTACTGGTAAGTTTGAGCAAGCACAAAACCCGAAGTCAAAGGCTTTCTGCTGACGGCCTCTAACTATCTGATATTAATCATTCATAGTGCACCGTGATGACAACCCACCGAGTGGCATGTTGGGCGCATTAAAAACCTCCCTAATATGATTCAGTCTGCACCAAACAAAGAACTAGGCGCATAACACTAGTTT